CTCAGCTGGTAGAAATCCTTTTGTCTTTGCTCTGGTGCCCACGAGTCATCAGAAATTTGCTGTGTTGGGTCCAGCTGCAGCCAGGATTTTGTTCCCAGCTTGTTGAAAGACCACAGGAACAGATCTGCTCTGAGTTTCTTCCTCTCCTGCTTCCACACTGCTCTCAGGTGCTCTCTGGAACATGTAAATCCTCTGTGGAGCTCTTTCATTCACTCATCTTTTTCACAAGTACGTGTTTTCTCATGGATAATATCTCGGTCTTAATCAGTCCTCATTTATGCTTTCACTCACTGTTTCTCTTCTTTCTTTTCCAGACAAACATCAAACAAACACATCTTCCAGAGTATCCAAACCTCCAACTTTCAATCCTTTGTGGGTTTTTCTTTATTAATGATTAGCATTCTTCATGACATGAAGTCACCTTTCTCTGCTTGATCCTGCCTTCTCAGGTAGCAAAGCACAGTGCGATTGTAACTCTGCCAGACCCATGTGTCTGTCTCGGCATTTTATGGCAAAGTTTAGCATGTGAAACACAAGCCATCCTGAACGCAGCTATCCCTGGGGCAAAGTGCATGAAGCTGAAAGAAATAACAGCTAGGAAGGGGGTAAGGCAGATGGAGGAATAAGAGGGTTGTGAGTAGACTGGTGAACAGGCAGGTAAAAGTGATATCAAGCATGGCTCCAAAGGGTTATGTCCTCCCGGGATGAGTGAACCTTGCATGCAGCTGTCCCCACAGCCCACCCTCTCCAAGCGTGTCCCTCTGCCGTGCAGGTGTTGCTGTCCCCGTGCAGCACTGGCAGTGTGTGGTGTATCCCAGCACAGCCTAACCAATGTGCAGACTACTGTACAATCTCGTAGTCCTGAACAGGTAGTCTGAACACTGGGCAGACGGAGTGGAGCCTCTGCGATCTGCTCTCCGGCTATCAGCAGCTCATTAGTCCTTTCCCCTCCCTGCTTTTGGGATGGAGTCTTAGGGACAGAGATGGGGTGAAAGAAAGTCCAAGTCCTGACTGAAGAAACATCCTCTTCTGGCAGCTGGGAAGAAGAAATGTTGCTCTCTGCATGTTTCCAATTTGGAGCAAACTTCCAAGCTCCTTCCTCTTCCAGTGCTGGTGTCAGGCTGGTACCTGGCTTCCACCTGGGCTATTCTGCACCTTTTAAGAAAAGAGATGGAAGAAAAAAATCAATTACAGCTGTTTGGGAGGG